CGACGTCGTAAGACTGTCTGTACGCTTGACAAAGTTGGCTGGCCACTTCTGCCCAACCTGGCCAGCGCCGCGCGCAGCCAGCAGCTTATCAGCCATATCGCGCACAGCAGCATACGTGGGCGCAAATCCACGTAGATCTAGATCAAGTATATGATCAACTATCACCTCCTCTTCTAGCTTAGTGAGCTTCTTTGAGTTAGGCTGGCAATCGCGTCGAGCAGGTATACCAGCGCGTCGGTGGCGGATTGTTCGTTTAGACACGTTGTAGACAGCAGCAGCGCGACAATTACTTTGTGTTTAATAGAGATTAATAGAAGAAATAGCAAGCTAAATATCTGCTTTATTCAAAGCTAATTGAGTAGCGCTACGTTGAGCCATTGTTCGTTGAGATAGGAGAGGTGCGCAGGTTTGGTGGGGTGCGGCGCTCGCTTGCCTGCGGCGCTCGCTTGCCACATACGTTAGCCTTAAAGGACCTTAGAAGCATAAGCAAACGACTAATAGATAATAATCTAGAAATTGAGATGGCTAAGGAGGCCTCTACGCCTTGCCCTAACAGGCAACTAGAAGAACCGCCTAGGCCTACTCATACTAGGACAAGGAGCAATTTTTCTCCATTTATTAGAGCAGTGCCAAGATACCCTACAGTAGGGAAAACACCAAAGGCAACCTCTATTGAGGAGGCCTCAGAGATTGCTAGAAACCTAATAATCTAAGCAGCTAACCTAGCTAAAAACAACCCTACTAGGCAAACTAGTTTACTAGACCTTGTAGAAGTCTTTAGAGACTTTTTAGAGAATGGTAGAGTAAATAAGAAAAACTCTACAATTCTAGGAGACTGTATCTCCTCTCTATCTAACGTCTCTAAAGAACTAAGAGAGAAAGTTAGACACCTTGAAAAACCAAATACCCCGCCCACCCAACCTTAAGCTCAGCCCCCTAGCTCCTACGCAATAGTAGCAGCTAGTAATTAAGAACAACTTTGGACATATATCTAAAAAAAACAAAACTAAAAATACATAGAAAAAAACACCTAAAAAGACAACTAAAAAAAGACTACTAGCCTATTAGATAGCCAAATTGTTCTAGTTAGCGATATACCTACTGCATTTGACGCTCTAAAAATTAGAAACGCCTTTAACAAAGCCTTTACAACAAAGGGAGGAGTACAATCCCTAGTAGTAGCCTTAGTAACACCTTTAGCAAAAGGCAATAAAATAGTTACTACCACCCTAGCTTTTTTAGCAAAATACCTTCTAGAAAACCAAGAGATCTAGAAGGATATCACAGAGTTCAAAGCAGCCCAACCAATCACCCCTTGGTTCAAAGTAGTTATCCATAAACTACTAACAAACCATAGCCTAGAGGTCCTAAAGGAGGAAATTAAAATCTTTAATAAAGGCCTAAAGGTAGTAGGCAACCCCTTCTGGCTAACACTAGAATCTAGAAGAGGAAACTAAAACTTTAGATCCGCCTGCGTAGCTTTTGCTACAGAACAAGAAGCCTAAAGAGCTATTAGAGGAAAGCTCTATATTCTAGGGCAGAGCCTTAGAGCGGAGAAACTAAGAGTTATCAATAACTCTAAACAGTGCTCTAAATGCCAAGGTTTTGGGCACCTAGAGGCTAAATGCTCTAAAGTAGCCTGCCAAATCTGCAGCGAAGCCCACCACACTAGCCTCCACAAGTGTAATTCTTATTCAAGCAGAGGCAAGCCTTACGTTCACACTATCTTTAAGTGTGTAAATTGTAGCAAGCCCTACGCAGCTAACAGCCAAAACTGCGAAATCCTGTAAGCTAGGACATCTAGGACTACTACCTCTTCTAACTAGAATGTTAAAAGTCCTACAAATATATGTTAATAGAAGTAGCCCTGCTATAGAGAGCGCTCTAAATCTAGCTATTCAAGTAAACGCCAAGATTATCGCTATACAGGAACCCTGGCTACTAAAGGGACATACCTACGAGAATACTAGATCAATCGCCCACCAAGACTTTACTCAAATACTCCCTACTTATAAGGGGTTAAGGCCAAGAACGCTCTTCTATATTAGAAAAGACCTAGATCCAGAGGTTAACCTATATATCAGCGACAACAACGACTTACAAGCTATTACAATACTCTCCTCTTTAACTAAGATCTATAACGTGTTTCACCAGTAAGCGGGCCACCCCAGTATGTGGGCCACCTCTCTAAACTATTACATCTTTGTAATAGTATTGCGCAACACCACTACAATATTTTTTATTAAGTAGAATAAGATATTATTCTTTAGACGCATTGCTATCCTCTGTATCCTCTAATTCCACTTAATAAGTGCGAGAGTTGTGTCTAATTTAGCTGCAACGCCCGCAGCGCCGTTAACTACGCACCCTCTTCGTAGACGTTGCACCATCATTATAGCTACCACCCTCTGCCTTATCGATCTAATTAGCTATCTAGCTAACTGTCTGGGACCCCTCTGCCTGTACGTAGCGCCTCTTACGAGTTTTTCGCTTCGTTACTTTAGTAATCGTAGCTTTAAGGCGATCAAGTTTCTTCTATATTAACACTATATTATAAGCTATCTGCTAAGCTCTCTTACTTAACTACTGTATCTGCTCCTTAAGAGAACTTGTAGGAGACCCTTGCTAGATTTGCATATGGTTTTGAATCAGCGTAGCCTGCGCCTCTATTT